GTAGTGGATCTTATTATCGAATGATATGGGAGACAGTCAAAGCATCAGTCTCAGCATCAACAGAAGAAAAGGACTGACCGACCGCCGTTCAAGAGAGATCCCGAAGGCTCGAACTTTTTGCTAGCTTTGAAAGATGGGCCGAAGGAAAGAGGAAGACCAAACAAAGTCGCGGTCAAAGCAAAGAAAAAGATGCCAAAAAAGATTAACTTTAGCTTCTAGCTCGCTTAGCTTAGTGTAGGTTGCTTGCAAGACTTTCGATAGCTGGCTCGGCCGAACGGAATCACCGATCTAGATAGAAGGGTCGTTCACTCCCTATTCTTTGAGAGGTATCTTGCGACGGTAGCATTAGCTAGGCAATCAAGGCAGGTCGAACAGAGTCAGTCCTAGGGTGAAGATCATCGGATGGAAAAATGGATTGAGCTGGCTAATCACTTGATGACCCGGTGGAGAATGGGAACAGAGAGTCGCTCCCATAAACGAATGAATGGGACTCCTGGTCCTGATCGAACCAGAGATTCCGACAACCCGGGGAATCGGCAGAAAGAGATGGGTCGGATACTGGAATCTGCCCAAAAGTCCTGACTTTTTCGAGGCAGGGCTTCGACCCGTATCTGGCCAACTCCTCGAACTGCTGGGTGCGGCATATTCATGGACTGGCAAAGCGAACTCTCAATTTGATCAGGAGAGCCTAGAGAGCTCTCTATCTTTCCCCAAATTCCGACTAGCGCGGTTCTTTTTCTCGACCAATTTGAATTCCATTTCATTTTTTATTTTAAGTGTTGTAGAGTAGTAAGTAGCTAGGCGGATTTCAGCGCATGCTGCATTGAGAATCTCCAAAGAAATTAGAAGCGCCTATGATAGCGTATGATTATTCCCATTTGTGACCGACGGTTGCTTGCAAGAGGTGGCGATCGGCAGTGTTCCAAAGCGCCATAACGACGTGCGTTAGAGCGTTATGGCAAACGATCCCCATCACCTGTAGTTATGGGGAACGCCTTCGGCTTGCTATACTCTTTCCCTAACGCATGCTGGTTACCATAAAGACACCGAGGGATATCGCATGCGCTAGTTTCGGGGATGTTGTTTACACTACTATTGGTAACAACTCAAAGTGCCGGAACGACTCTAGTGGTGCAAGCGAAGGTTTCAGTCTTGTCGAGCGAAGCAACCACTAGTCGCCCTTAGTGCTCCAAAACACCCTTTCGCTTGCGTGAGCAACGGCCCCTAGCGCCCAGAGCAAGCGCCTTTAGTGTTCCCGACCGCCTGCCTTTCGGCCTTAGCGTTCCAAACAACCAGTAGTGTGACCGATCTGTGTTCAAAACAACCGATGACGCTAGCGACGACTCGTGGGGCCCCCTAACGCCGAACAAAAAGGACTAGTGCTATAACGACTAGTGGTGTTACGGAACAACTACCCGACGAGTGGTAATAAGGACAACGGAAGTAGGTTTGACAGTAGCGTTAGGACGACTGGTTCTCGTAGTTGTATTGCCCTAACGCAACGACTCAAACAACTACGAGTGCTCCCAAGACGATGAGACGCATGCGCTATACCGTCGAGTATTGCTTGCGAAGCAACCGCAACTCGTTGTAGGTCCTCTCCAACCATTACAGTCGAGTAGCTTTCACTCCTTCGCTTGAAATGTGCGGTTGGTTTACCTAACGCATGGCTTCCCCAACGCCAATAGTCGCATGAGTTCTCCTAGGCCATAACCCATGCGTTGAAAGAAACCGCATGATGCGTTCCGGAGTTGCCGTAGTTCCGTTACCGCCTTGTCGTCTTGGGTTGGGAAGGATACGACAGGCTCAATTCAAGGACACTCAATTTCAGGCTTTCGAAGCTCTGACGCTTTCTGTCGCATTTGTTCTCTCTTTTGTTTACCTTTCATTTTCACTTTCTTTTTATAGAATGTAGTGCCCAACAGTTTAAAGGAAGGGGTGAAGTCTCGGGATCCGCTCTAGTCGAGTTGTTAGATGTCTCTCTCCGGAGTCGCTCCTCTATCTTTTATCTCTCTCT